CTTCTGGGTGGAATAACCCACTGTCCCCAAAGTTTCATGAGAACAAGAAACTCTTTCCTTTGTGGAAAAGGCAATTTGTGCCTGTTTTCAAATCACAAAGGTGACAGAGCCCACCTTAGTCATATGGCCGCCTTGGACTCACACAGGATGGCAGGTCAGGAATTCAGGGACTAAAAATCATGAGGGGTGGGAAGGCAGAAAAAAAGAGATGAGTACAGAGAAAGAAAAGGGAAGAAAGCTGAAGGGAGGGAAGGAGAGAGGGAGGGAGGGGGAGAGAGAGAGAGAGAGAGAGAGAGAGAGAGAGAGAAGGAAGAGAGATTTCCAGCCTACATCCCACAATTATAAACCAGTCCTTCAGAATTCATTTTTCATGTGCATTTAACGTTTCATCAACCCGGTATGAATTTGGTTTGGGGAAAGAGGCAAGAGGAAGGGAGAGAGGGAAGACAGAGGGAGAGAAAGATGGACCAACACCAAACCAACACTGAAGTCCCCCATGTCTCTGTTCTTTCCCCTCCTAGCCTGGCTCCTGTGTGGTCAGGAGCCTCCCTTGGGGAATGCTCTTTGAGGCCTCTCCTGCCTAGACTCCAACTGATACCTCCTCCCTGGGGAAATTTGGTTTCTCTCTGCCAGCTGTAGCTGGCTTCAGGGCTCTGTATTCTTCGCCTTAACGCATGAAACTCCTTTCCCCAAAAGATGTTGCCTGCTCTTCCCACTACCTGGAATACTGTTCCCCACATTTTGCATAGCTGCCTTTTCTTAGCCACATGTTAGGTCCTCTCACACCGAGCTTTCTGACTCCTATTACTGCTGCCATCCCTCTCTTCCAACTCCTTGTGTTTTTGAATGGCAGTGACCATGTTTTGATTATGTTTGTCTGTCTCCTACATCAGTTTCTGATCTTTGAAGGTAAGGGTTCATCTCCTCTGTGTCCTGTGGCCCCTGTGTCAAATTACAGCTTGGGGTGTGTGTGTGTGAGTGTGTGTGTGTGTGTGTGTGTGTCTGTGTCTGTGTCTGTGTCTGTGTGTCTGTGTGTATGTGTCTGTGTCTGTGTGTGTCTGTGTGTATCTGTGTATAAAATTCAGATTTTTTTCATTCTCCTGTTTTTAATGTTAGTAATTAAAAACATAACTATATTGGTATAATGAATGATGAAATGTAAGGCTGGATAAACAGGTATAATTAAACATAAACATAGAATAACCACAGAATATAATTATATGCATAAAACATTTATAATTCTAGAACCCCAGAAAATCTCTACTTGCTAAATTTCCATGTGTTTGATATGGCATAAACATTGTTTTAAAAATTCCATCATGAATACATGTTTTTTTATTGGCACAAGAAAGTTGAAAAATGGCATTCCTGCTGTGATCTGATAGTTACACCAGTCCTTTATAAACCATACATCACTATATAAATATATGGAATTATAATGATTGTCATTGTCTGAAGCCTGGGGCTAAGCTGGAGTCTGTAGCCCCTCCAGCTTGGGAGAAAAACCTAGGTAATAACACAGCTTGCTATTTTTCTCAAGTTCTCAGTTCCCCATTACAAACGTTATCTATAAAAGGGCATGTTTATAAACTTTTGCAAAGTGGCCTGCAATCTTGGCGAATGCCATTTATGGGTTTGATCTACCAGCTTGGAGCCTCCTAGGTCATCCTGGAGAGCAGAGGGCCATGAATTGGACCTGAGGTGTGGAAGAGTCTGACATGCACACAGGGTCAATTAGCTCCTAGAGTTCCCTCTCTAGACTCTCCTTCTACTGCTGGCTTACCTATCAAGTGGGAACTTGGGCTAAGTGCTCTCTTGGGTCCCTTTCAACTACAGCACATTCTAGTTCTGCTACAAGGACAGCCCACAGTCACTGTCACAGATAAACAAGGACAGTGCAGATGCTCCAAAGGGCCTCTTGCTGTTTGGAGAGTTCTTAAACATTCACTCATATGGTAAAGACAAGGGTCCAGCAGATATCTCATTACCTGTGCCAGTGTAGACAGACAAGCAGTATAGACACCTAAACATTGGGAGCCGAAACTGTGCAGGCAGTCACCACTGGGACTCAGTTTGTGGGCTGACAGGCCAGTCCTTTTGACAGAGTGCAAAGAGGGTTAGAGACTGTTTTCTGAGCACCTGCGCAATGTAGAAGGTTCAGGGCTGGGGCCAACAGGGGCAGCCTAACAGTCCTATCATCAACACTTCACACACCTGTGTACACAAGCTTCTTGTCCCTTCTTGGTGGCTTGTAGCTGTCAGTTCCCCTAACTCCCTCCAGGCTGTGTCCTCTCAGTTCTGTAAGTGTGAGTGAATGATCTCAGTTCAGAGGGACAGGTGTGCCATCTGTGCTGGAGACCACACAGGTCAGAGTGGACACATGATGACACCGAGGAGAGGAGACAAAGTACCCCTGTGAGCACTTCTTGGACTACTCTGGGCAACCCAAGGCCATTCCCTTCCTGGCAGGTGACATCCAACCTGGCCCCCACTCTCCCTGTATAATAGGCCGTTGGCCCATGTGTCAGCTCTGTGCCCATTTGTGGGGCCCTTGGGGGAACCGTCAGCACTCAGTCTTTCCCGAGGGCTCCCTCAGGGTCCTGCAGGCCTTAGAGGTGGGAGGAGAAGTGCAAGGAGGCCTTAAGAGGGCTGGGTTTATAGGAAACAGTCCAAACAAGTTCAAATGTAAGGAAAGACAAAATGGAGGACTAGGAGATCAAAGAAGTGAGATAAAGAAGATAAAAGAAGAGAGCAGAGGGGCTGGAGAGATGGCTTAGTGGTTAAGAACACTGGTTGTTCTTGCAAAAGACCCGAGTTCAAATCCTACCACCCACATGGCAGCTAACAACTGTCCATAACTCCAGTTCCAGGCGATCTGACAGCCTCTTTTGACCTCCGTGGGCATTGCACGACACGGGTACACTTACTTACATGCAGGCAATACACATACACATAAAATTTAAAAAATAAAATATTTTTTAAAAAAAGAAGGGAGCAGAAAGAGAAAGGAAGAACAAGGAAAGAAGAAAAATGGAAAAAGAAAAAGGGAAGGAAGAGGCAGGAGGGAAGGAGGGGAGAGGAGGAAGAAGCCTTGTAGCTGTGCCCTGCTGGGAGACACCTAAGTATTCCAGGAAGGTTTGCACTCCTGATGCTCTGAAAAGGAAGAAAGAAGGGGGGTGTTGTAGCCAGACGGGGGTCAGAAGAATAAGAACATAAGAGATACTTTCAGTCTGGACGGGGTGTTGAGAGGCACCTGGGCTCCCTGGCCTGGGTCAAGCCTTCATTTCCACCCTGTTTCTACACCTGCCCAGTGCAGAAGGTGCAGGTGCAGGGCTGGGGCCAACAGGGGCTGCTGTTCCTCTACAGAGGCTGCTTGACTGGGAGAAGCTCTCTACCCTACCTCAGAACAGGGGAGTGAGTTCTATGCAGAACAAAACCGAATTGGAACCACTCCTTGGAGCTTATAGAGTCCAGGATGCAAGCACACGTGTGGCTGGCTATGTGTGAATTGTGTAGCTATGTGTGGGCTGTGTGGATATGTGTGGATTATATGGATAGTTGGACATGTATGAATGTGTGTGTGTGAATAGTTGTACACAGGTGGACATATGTTGGCATCTTTGGATGCATGTGGACATGTGTGTGAGTATGTGGGGCCATGTGTGGATATGTGTCAACACATGTGGACATGTATGGACAAGAGTGACTGTGTAGACATGTGTGGGTGGGTGTGGACATGTGTGGATGTATATGGGTGAGTAGGTGTGGATGTGTGTGGATGTTTGTGAATGTGTATGGATATGTGTGATTGTGTGAGGGCATGTATGGGTGGGTGTGGACATGTGTGAAGGTATGTGGATTTTGGTGATGTGTGGACATGTATGAACATGTATGGATGTGTAGATATGTATATGTTTGTGGTGTGTGGATATATATGAATATGTAAGGACATGAATGAATATGTATGGACATGTGTAGACATGTGTGGACAGTAATTCAAAGGCCAAAGTCTGGGACGGGTCCTTTCAGCTTCCTTTTATAGACCAGCAGGATACATGGTTTTAGTTCTATCTGACAATGCCTGTTCATGTAGGAGCCTGCAGTCTCAGCGAGGGGAAGGTCTCTCCTTAACAACAGGCTCAAGCCCTCTCTGCTGTCCTTCATCATCTTACCATCTTGACTGAGGTCAACTCGTGAATGTTGGTATGGCTGGGCCCCAGGGAGGAAGCATGCTGTCCAATTTATCAACTCTGCTAGGAACCCCATGCTCCCTGAGCTCTGAGTCACAGGCCTCACACCCAACCTACCAGACTTTCCCGGCAAAGGGTCTGACATTCCAGATCCTCAGGCTCTGACCTCTAGTGAGAGGCCAAAGGGGAGCAGCAGCCCCACGGCATCTGCTGCCAGTAAGCTGCAAGCCCCTTCCATCCATCCTCACTGTGGATGTGGTGCTGCCTGTCCACAGTAGGGCTGTACCCCATCCTCCTAAGTAAGCCTCACCCTCTTGTTTCTAGATAAGGGGTCACAATGGCCAAAAAACGTCCCAATAGTAAGAGAGGTCCCCCATGTACAAGTCCAGCAGAGACAGAGGGTGCTCTGTGATGTGTGTGGAACTGTTAGGTGGGCAGCCTGCAGTACCATGGGGCTGGAGTTCAGGGAAAGTTCCCATGGGTGGTGGCTCTAAGTAGGCACAGTATGTAGTGAGGTCACATAACACAGTTGAAAGAGACAAAGACCTTCTACCATGAAGAGCATACATCCTTAACCAAAAGATTTCATCCAACCTGGTGTAAAGAGAGCTGGGACAGAGACTAGTTTCCTCGTCCTCAGCCTGAAGACACTAGTCACACCAGGGCTGCTGTCTCAAAAGACAGAACATATTTTCTGGGGACAGAAGAGCCCAAAAGCATCACCAGTTGATAGCCTGGGTGTTAAAACTATTTCTAATACACCCCAGAGACAAGGAAAGAAGCAGCCACCAAAGCAAGCAGGGGCCTTACCTGGATGTTCCTGGGCCCTGGGCTGAGCGCAGCACACCTGTAAGGAAATACCACTGTGAGGCACCAGCCCAACCTCCCACCTGTGCATCCCAGCCCTGTGGCAGCCCAGGGGCATTACCTGGAAGCCACAGAAGGATGAGAACAGCCAGACCCAACGACATAAAGGTGGTGGTTCCCTCATGGTGGGGTGCCCGCAGTCCACAGGGGCCTCTCTACCTCCTGCTTCCCAGGGACAGGGACATTGTCACAGGTTCCCCACTACAAAGTCTGTCCCCTTAAAGTTTGTGCTCCATCTGGGAGCAGTCGGAGAAATTCTTTTCTCCTAACTGGTGTCTTCAGGGACCAGCAGGCAGCTCTGGGCAGTGGAGAGCTCCTCTGCTTGACCAAGGTCCCCAAGTCTTAACACCGGGGGTGGGACAGGGCCACAGGCTGTCTGAAGGTTCAGAAGTTTGTGCCCTTCTCCAGGACTTGCCGGCTCTTGCTTTCCATCTCAAGTCAGAGCTCAGAGCTTGATGTTGTCAGAGCTGCCTCCCTCTGCAACTGAGCTCCGCCACACCTCGTTGGCCTGGAGTCTAGCCCGCGGCTTTGGGTGGAGAGCTGGAGTGATGTCAGCAGGCCTCAAACTTTGTTATCCTCTATTTATATCCTTCCCACGCTGGCCTTTCCTGGGTCCTAACATCAGTCTGTTAGGAACCACTGAGCTCCTTCCAGGACTTTCCTATCCAGAGGCTGCCAGATAGGCCTAAAGCAGGGGAAATAAAATTGTGGTGTGACTGAGAGAAAGAGTCGGGGGAGGGGGTGACTGTGAGGGTAAGAGAAAGAGAGTGTATGAGAGAGAATGTGCGGGTGAGAGAGTAGAGCATGAGTGTGTGTGGAGGTAAGAGAGAAAGAGCAAGAAACAATGTGTGTGGGTGAGTGAAGTGAGTAAGCATGTAGAGGTGAGCATGAGGGTGAGAGAAAATGCATGTCTAAGTGTGGGGGTCTGTGGGGATGAGAATGTATGTGGGGGTGAGAGACTGTGTGTAGGGGTGAGTGGGGGTTTGAGCATGTATGGGAATGGATGTAAGAGTGGATGGGTGTGGGTGTGACTAGGTGTAAGTGTTCATGTAAATGGAAGCATGTATGTGGGGGAGTGGGTGAATGAGTATTGCATGTGAATGGGGGTGAGTAGGTGTGAGTAGGCATGACTGTGGATGCACATACTGGGGGCACATTCTTGTTGGCACGCTCAAAGTCTCCATCAATGGTAATAAGCATAGGTGTGGATCAAACCAGGAACTCCATTGAGATCAGGTCTTGTTCAGCTTGGGAAAAAGGTAAATTATATACACACAGGAAACACTCATGCCCTGCACAAGGTTGGCCATGATTTCTCTTCAACTCACCCTTACAGAAGTCAGGATGCCCCTATTATTGACAAGGTACTTGTCAATACCCACCTGGGCTACTCCAGCACCCAGCATGGCGCTCTCATGGAATAACCAAGCCATATCTCCAGCTAACTGTGTCTCAGCTTAACTAAGGCCAAGACTTGATCCACCTACTCCAAATGTATACAGTGCACATGGGCTGTCCAGTCGCATGACTATATACACACATGCATACACATGAACTGTCTGTCCAGCTATACGGCCATACACACACACAGATGTACCTAGGCTGTCTAGCCGCACAGTCACACACACACACACACACACACACACACACACACACACACGCACAAGGGATGTCCAGCTGTCCAGCTATATACACACAGGTGCACATGGGCTGTCCAGGAGCACCACCACAGCTCCATCCCATCTCTCCCTAGCTATGCTCCCCTCTCCCATAGAGCTGAATTTCCCTCCTGAATTCTTTATCTGCAGAATGGAGGCAGCACTGGGTGTCCAGGAGACAAAGACTAACATATAAGGCCCTTAATGCCAGGCTTGGAAGAGATGTAGCACACTCAATAAATGTTGCTATGATTATTACGATAAAGTGGAAAGTAACAACCAATAAATGCCGGGTAGGCTTATCGTCCCAGTTGCCCTGACTTTAAATGGGAATTAAGAGTCTTGTATCCCAGCGTACTTCCTAAAGAGGCAGAAGGACGGCTTACAGGCCCCAGGGAGGGAAAAGGGATGTCAAAACCCAAGGTGATCACTGACAGCCTCTCTCACTATCTGATCACCTCACTGGGGCAAGCTCCAGATGGTTCTGTGAACATTCAGCCTCAGAGTCAGAGAAACTGGAGTCTAAACACCAAGCTCTTTGTAATAACCTTAAGCCTAGTGCCTAGGTAGTGTTCAGGGGAAAAGTAATTTACAACTTTCTCTTTTCATCTGATCAATTTTCTATTCCTACTGACTCCCCCATGAAGGGAGTAAAGGGATGAGCCTCAGCCCCATCTGAACCCAAGAATTAAATAGATTGCTAAGTACAGACCTTCCCTGTTTCCAAGGTTGAGAAAAGACAAGGTGTTTCTTTTAATCATAAATTTGTCCTTGGAAAAAAGAGGGCACCAAACTCAACGGTAATACTAAGAACTGGATAGAAAATATGATAGCAGGACTGTCCATCAGGTGCCAGTGCCTGGCCACTGATGCACCCTATGTCTGTCCTGGATCCCAGCCTTCAGGGTGCTCACCTTCCATTTTACACTCCCCACACCCACAGGATGAAGTAAAGAGTCCACTATTCTTTAGCAAATATCCAGTTTCCTTAACATTGGGTGAGAAATCTCAACTGTGGAGACTTTTCAAACTTGATCATCAAATAAAATGTGGGTGTTGCTGGATATGGTGGCATACAACTTTAATCCCAGTATTCAGAGGCAGAGGCAGAGGTAGAGGCAGGAGGATCTCTGTGAGTTTGAGGCCAGCCTGGTCTTTGTAGCCAGTTCTAGGCCAGCTAGGTCTACACAGTGAGATCCTGTCTATTAAAAAAAAGTGGGGGGGGGGGTGCTGAAGAGATGGCTCAGTGGTTAAGAGCACTGACTGTTCTTGCAGAGACCAGGGTTCAATCCCCAGTACCCACATGGTGGCTAATAACCATCCAAACTCCAGTTCCAGGGAATCCAACGCCCTCTTTTGACTTCCATGGGCATTGTATGACATGGGTGCATTTACATACGTGCAAGAAATACACTCATATACATAAAAATAATAAAATATTTTTAAAGTGGGTATCATGGGCTGCAGTTCTCCCTGGGGCAGAGGGCAACTCCATCCCCACCAATCCATAAACTTTTATCTAGACTATTGTCTATTGCTGGGTGATGCTTTGAGCTATGTATATATTGCAGAAAGATTAAATCAAATTAACACATATGTCTATCACTAGGTCACTCTCAATAATGAGAGCACTAAAATCCATTTGTTTAACAATTTGGAAAAACACAGAATGTTATTTTTATTACATTTATTTATTTATGTGGGGGGTGCGTGTGGAGGTTAGAAGAGTTTTGGGAGTCATTTCCCTCCTTCTACTATGAGGGTTCCAGGGATCAAACTCTGGTGGTCAGGCACTCAGGTGCCTTCACCTGCTAAGTCATCTTGCTGTCCCAGGACTTTATTATTTACTGTGGTCAGGGCACAGTGCACCATTAGCTAAAGCTTCTTCCTCAAGCCTCCTGGAGACTTCAAATCTGTGACTAGTATGCCCTTTCCCTGACCTCCCTCTGCTTGCCTCCACTTCTATTCTGTTCCTAGGAAATCAGCTCCCTCACATGCCATTTATAAGCAAAATCACATCATGGTTGTATGTGACTGGCTTTCTTCACAGCATAATTTTTGAAATGGCTTTGGGTGGGGAATGGGCCTACTATCCAATAACAAAGCCTGTTTGTGAGCCTCATTTTATCACCTTCTTAGGTGGCCCCCAAGTGTCAAGCTGACAAGAGACTTCCAGCCCTTCCTTTCTGTTTTTCTCTCAAGGCCATTAATCACAGCCTGACACACATTGCCTTTCCAACATTTATTTCACTCACTGCCACCCTCTCCCCACTGAGAGAGATGCCCAGCAGAGCCACGTGCTTGCTCTGGAACAGGGCTTGGTACTTAGAGAGAATTTGACATCCAATATTCAAAGGATACTATTTGAATTAGTGCATTTATACTTAAAGGATGGGGTGGGGATTTGTGGTTTCATAAAATTCATCGGATCTTATTGAATGGATGCTAATTAAATATTTTAAATGGGTTTTAAACTTTGATGATGCTTCACTCAATAAATGTTTGTAGGGTTGCTGCCGAGGGACCTGATGGTGACAGGGTGTGACTGAATTACTCACACAAGGGACAGCCTGGGTGGGTCAGAGTGTGTCTTACAGGGGTCAGCCTGTACAGCTGATAGAGAAGCTGGATTGCTGGGTTCTTAGGACTATTTTATATCCCCCCGAGTACACTGCTCCCTAGCTGCATGCCTTCCATCAACCCTCCTGGCTACACAGGGCAGCTGGCTTGTGTGCCCCACACTTCCATTCCCTACAGACAGAGCAATAGCTGCTTGCCACACTCAGGCACCAACAGAACAGACAGACCTAGAAGGTCTGAAGGATGAAGTCACAGGGGAAATGATGTGAAGAGGTCAGGGGATTCTTCCTGATGCCTAAAGGAAGAAAGAATGCTCCAGAAAGAAATTATGGAATGCACTAAGCTCAGGATGTAGGAGGCATGGATGGTAGGTGATGTTGTCCAGCAGCCCTGCCTCCCTTCCCCTCCCTTCTCCTCCCTTCTCCTCCACTCTATTGGTTTTTCCCTGTGGTCAGTTCTAATACCACAACTTGAATCAAAACTTCAGGGTGTTATGGTAGGCAGACCATCCACTGGAACATTCCAACTCTTCCATACATTACATATTGTTCCTGGTCCAACAGTGAGCCAGCGACCTACTCAGCAATAATCAGTGTCCTCCTGGAATGAACACATTGTGACCTTGGGAGGGAAGATTCCCCTCCCTCCCCTTCCCACTGTCTGCTAACTTCGGTGGTCTTAAATTAACTTGGGTGATACCCATGTTTCTCGCTATAGTGGAAAGAAGTATTTGCAGCAGAAAATAATGAACCCAGACAGAAATTCTAGCATCCTAGCCCTGGGGTGGGCACTCGGAGCAAGAAGGAGTCGAAATCAGCCAAAGTCCTTGATCCAGCCATAATTAAAGCCGGTTTTATCTGACAGTCACCAGTAAAGTCATGTTTGGGCATGAAAAAGTTCAATCTTGGCTCTGTCTTCTCCTTCAGAGTTCTGGCCAATGCAGTATGTCTGAGAAAACCAGCAGTCTAATAGGCAGTGGAGAGCGGGTAGAGGGGGACATGGAGAGCTGAAGCTGGAGACAGGTCACTGCTTATCAGGCAAGCCGAGGTCAGAAACAGTCCCCACACCTCACCCCCCGCCACTCAGTCCTCTGCCCTGCATCTTCTTCCTGCCACAATTAGAATGGTTGCATCTAGCCTCATTCCCCACAGTGATGTTCCTGAGAGCTGCCTGGGCTTCTGCACAGGGTTTTCTGCCCACCCAGCCTCCCAGTAATGAGAGGCACAGTAAGCACCCAGAAACGAGGGGCTCATTATGGAGTACAGAATCAAGGTGAGTACCC